GGGCAGGCAGAGTCCGGCAAGCTCTGAACTCACCAGGCAGAGGGTGAAATGGCTGCAGTTACACATGCAGAGGGCAAAAGGGAAGATGCACTACGCACGTCCCAGTCGCTGCTGACCGTGCAACACGCTTCCTTGACAGAGGCTGGCATCTGTCAGGGATTGGGAGGGAGCGGACTTCAATACTCACTCGTCGACTCCAGTGGCATCTCCATGCAGCATGCAGTACCAGTTCACTGGCAGAAACTCCACCCGGCCAATCTTCTGCTCGTCCACAGCTTTCTTGAAGTGAGTCTGAAGCAGGCTGAGGGAGGTGTTGCGGAAGTCGTTGACTGTAACGAGCAAGGGGGGGGGGAAAACGAGTTAGGCAGCAGCTCGAGGGGAGGAAGCAGAGGTGGAGGCCAGGCAGCTGCCCTCCATCCACGCCCCTGCGGGGGGGGGCAATGATGCCTCTGTTGGGGGGAAAAGAGAAGTGGATGTCATCGTGCCACAGACCAGAGGACAACGGGACTCCATTTGTGTCCCTGCTTGTCAGATCTGGTGCCCTCCCCCTGGGGGCACTTTCCTGGGACACTGACCACCACTGAAAGCAGCTGGAAACCTCTGAACTGTGCACAGGAAAAGCTGCAAGAACAGGAGGAGGCTGATCCCACTGAAAGACAGCATCTCACTGAGTATCACTGGGACAAAGGAATACCAGCTGCAACAGTCTCCAACAGCATTCCTTCCCGAAACTGCACAGTCTACCCTGAATCCCAGCGCAGAATTTAACTTTTCAGTCTGTTTATTCATTTGACAGAACAAAAACCCCTGCTTTGTGCTTCCTTTTCCAGCGACGTAATTTCAACAGAAGCTGGGAAACTTTTGCTGTCTGTGGCTCAACATGTTCCCTTAAAGGAAAAGGAACTGTGGTGTGAACTTCTGCTCAGAGTGGAACAACAGTGTGCACAGTCTCAGCAACAGGCAGAAACACAGAGTGACACGGCCCAGAATAACTGCAAACTGTTCATGACCCAATTGGCAACCAAACAGCAACAATGTGAGTGACACCATGATCCTGCATGCAGGGATTTGGGGCAGCACAGTGGCTCAGTGGTCAGCACTGCTTCCTCACAGCCCCAGAGACCCAGGTTCAATTCCACCCTCAGGTGACTGTCTGTGTGGAGTCTGCACATTCTCCCTGTGCCTGCGTGGGTTTCCTCCGGGTGCTCCGGTTTCCACCCACAGTCCAAAGATGTGCGCGTTAGGTGGATTGGCCATGTTAAATTGCCCATCGCATCCAGGCTGGATGGATGGATTAGCGGTGGGAAATGTAGGGTTATTTGGGACAGGGTGGGTCTGAGTGGGATGCTCTTCGGAGGGTCGGTACGGACTCATGGGCCAAATGCTTCCATATTGTAAGGAGTCTATGACTGAGATGCATCCTGAGCAACTGGGGCTGGGGTGGTGGGGGGCTCTCTCCTTGTTTTGTGGATCTGACCTCTGCAGCTGCAACACAATGACTTTGATCACAGCGTTTATTTCTCAGGCACCCCTGGCTTTGGTCTGTCAGGATACAACTGCAAATCTCGGATGAGGAGGAACGTTTTCCCTCAGAGCACTGGGAGTTGGGAGCGGGTGCTGGGGGGTGCAGGGGCCCGGTGTGTATTTAAGACCGATTGAGATGGATGTTCGATCAGCTGGGGGATCGAGGGTTGGGGGAATATGAGCAGTGTCAGACCAGCCATGATCCTATTGAATGGCAAAGCAGGCTCAAAGGGCCGAATTCCTGTTCCTATTTCTTATGGTCTGTAGGAAGAGCAGGATATGCGATTGCTACCTGTTGGTGCCCTGGTCCCTGAAGGGTCCCGAAACGGTGAGACAATATCAGCCGGTCTGGTCAATCTGATGACAGGTGTTTGTTTAAAGGAAACATGTCATGGCTGGGGCTCTTGTTCACAACCACACTTTTCATGACATTAGGATAATTCATGATGACACAGAACAAACGGGCAATGTACGTGGGCCATGACTTGTCACTATCTGTAGCTTCCCCCAATGAAGGGCAGAGAGATTCGGGATCAACAGGACGGACCAAGGTGACATTGTGACCCAGGGAAGACAAGGGAACAACATGAATTTCTCCTGGTTTGTCACATAGCGCGTACCTGCCTTTCAGGTTCACACAGGAGGATGATGTTGGATTTGACCCAAAGGTTTGAAATCCTCCCACCAAGGGATTTGGATAACCAGGTAGATTGAGGCAGGGGGACCAGCTCCCCTTCATCACCAGTCTGTGCTGGGCTGTCTTGAACAACAAGCAGGGTATACCTTTGTATTTACGTTCCCTGCTCCCCTTTGAAGTGCCCACAGGTTATTACTGGAGGGCAAGCACCTTTGAGATACTGGACAAGGTCACAGTTCGCTTCAGTGTCTTCGAGTTGATCACAATGAATATTTTACCTTTGCAACGTGGAGGGACGCAATGAATTTGCAAGATGGCGTGGGAGTGACTTGTGGCTGGAATCATGTGCGACATCTAGCTACGTACCCACAGGTACACACAGACAGAATCCAGTTAGTCGATTCCAAAAGACGACACCTCCAGCAATAGTCACCAGACACACCCGTCATTGGTGAGCACAGAGCAGAGGCCAAGAGTGACTTGTACAAAGCCAAGGCCAGTGAGAACTCACCACACTGAATGATACTGCGGAAGCGGATGTCGCATGCAGGTCCGATCCCATGCACCATGAACACTAAATGATCCACTTTGACAGGCTCGCCGAGGAAGATGTCGCCACAGGTCTGTTCCACCCCTCTCTTCATAGTCCATGGCTTACTCTGCTCCGAAGCTGCCGAGTTCCAATCCGGGAAATGCATCATCAGCTGAGCCAAACAGACAGGGAGGACGTGATTAGACAGGGAGTCACAAGGACAGCTCCAACGATCAGCATGCACTGTTCGAACATTACCACACCTGCCTCAACGCTGACCCAATGCTAAGGTGCAGGACATCTCTTCTGGGCTGGAGAGAAACCTGGAGTGACAGGGGAAGGACCAAGTTTTCATAGTGCATACAGGTATCAACAACATGGGTCGGACTAGGACAGAGGCTCTCCTGAGGGATTCTGAGCAGCCAAGGGTTAAAATGAAAAGCAGAACCACAAAGATAATAATTTCCAGATTACTACCTGAGCTACATGCAAGTTGGTAGAGGGTTTACAAGGTCAGAGAGGAATATACATGACTCAAGGACTGGTAATGGGTGACACAGGTTCCACTCTCTGGAGCACTGGCACCAGTAGTGGTCCATTAGGATGGGCTACATCTGAACTGTGATGGGACCAGAGCCCTGGCAAATTGCATAACTTACACTTTTATAGATCGGACTTAGAGCTAATTACTTGGGTGGCGGGGTTCTCTCGAAAAGAACTCGAAAAGATCAAAAAAGAAACAAGAGAAGTGCAGGGTAATGAAGAGGCGGTTGTTTTGTCAATTGCCATGCAATGTATCAGGAGCAGAATGACATCACCTCAGTACCTTGGGATTGTGTAATTTGATGACCTCTCCGGTGGGAAATTGTAATTTCTTGTTCCACTCGTTTGACATCACTGCTTCCTTGTAGGTTCTCTGTGGAGAGGAGAAGATGATTTTGTGATAAACATACCAGACAGGGGGTCTCAAGTTTGCTGAGTCAACCATACACTTGCTGAGTGTTCACGGAGGGCCAGTTTGCTGCTGACCCCAGCAGATGCGATTCCTGGACGGGTTTCTCGTGTCAGCCTTAGAGGTCACTTGCACCACAGGCCATGTAGAGATCAAGCCAGGGTCAGCCAGATCGCACTCCGAACTCATGTTTACAACAAGAGAGTGAAGTCAGGATCTCACAACGACCTGCCAACATCAATTCTGTAGCTCTGTGACCACGAGCTTGGAGACTGAGGTTTTCACCTCTCAGCAAACAGCTCAATAGAGCCCTCCCTGAGAATGTGCTGCCAGCCACTGAGGATGTTGTGAGTCAATGCAGCCCACACAGAGGCCAGTCAGCCCACTGAGAGTGGTGCTCGATCGCGGCAACCAGTTGAGCTGTTTGAGGCAATCTCCATGCACCAGTTGGGACAATATTAGGAAACTGCAATATCTCCTGTTCTTCCCACTCGTGGGTTATTCTTGGTGAGGGTGGGGCAGTTTGCTAAACAGGAATTACAACTCTGCAGCGAGGGACTCTGTGGATAATATTCAGCCTCAGGCAGCTGTGAATCGGTCTTTCCCGACCTCAGCTCCCATGGTTAAATGGCCAAACGTACGAGCAGATCAACAGGACACCCATGGGATCACCTATCTCCGGACTAATAGCCGAGGCAGTGATGCAAAGACTAGAAAGCACGGCCCTTCCGCTAATCCAACCAAAACTATGGATACGCTACATGGACGACACCTTTGTCATCATTAAACGGACCAAACTAGAAGAGACACACAAACTAATAAACAACACCCTCACCAGAATCAAATTCACCAGAGAGAACAAACAGCTCCCATTCCTGGACGTCATGGTAGAGCACAGGACAAATGGGGAATTCCAAACGAACGTACACTGAAAAGCCACACACACTGACCAGGTACTGAACTTCAACAGTAACCATCCTAACATACACAAATGAAGCTGCGTGAGAACATTATGTAAACGGGCAACGATACATCGCAGCAGCACAGAGCTACGCCGAGAAGAATACCTCTTTCAGGTTTTCAAGGACAATGGATAGCCAAAAAAAACTGGGTCAGAAGATGCCTACATGAACAACATCAGGAAGATACTACACGCCCCGACACACTCATCACACTACCTTACACTCAGCTAACCACAAGACTCCTACGACCACTGGGCATCAGAGTAGCACACAAACCCACATCAACCCTATGCCAACTGCTCACCCGAACCAAAGATCCACTATCCACTATGGACAGGACCAATGTCATAATCAAGATTCCCTGCAGAGACTGTGACAAACACTACATCGGACAAACAGGAAGGAAATTAACAACAAGGGTACACAAACACCAATTGGTTACAAAAAGACACGACCAACACTCACTCATCTCTATCCACATGGACAAGGAGAACCACCAATTTGATTGGGACACCAAGATCCTGGGACAAGCAAAGCAGGGACAGGCACGGGAATTTCTAGCAGCCTGGTACTCCACAAACACAGCCCTCAACAAACACACAGAACTCGACCCCATATACACTCCATTGCGAAGGAAAACCAGAAATGAGGTAATCCAGTTCAAGGCACTCCAGAGTTTAAAAACCAGGCGGGAAAACACAACGGCACTTCATTGGAGGCTGCACCGATGATGTTACCGAGCAGGGTAATGAAATGTCTGCGGAACAACAACGAACCAGCTCGGCGAGCCAACCAACCACAACCCAAGCTGTAAATCTACTCCAAAACACAGAACACACCAATGATGCCACTCCCAGACAAAGCACTGTCATTACTCCACCCTCATGCCAATTACCCCTGCCAAGCCCAGTCACATTCCCAACTTCCACACAAACCAGCCGTACGGGATAGAGTTATCCTGCAGACCGGAGCTTAATCCGTGAGGATGTGAAGTCAGGAGGACTCCCTGTTGTTGACAAATTTGAGGACCTCACAGATATGTTGAGTTCTACCGGTGTTCCTGGCATTTGAAGGTCTGCATCGTGAGCACTCACTGATAAAAATCTTCACCCGAATTATTTCTAACAAGCTCAGTAGAGAGTTAAACAGAGGCAGGATTGGTAATTTGGCAATTGCTAAGTCCCCCTGCAAGCCACTCACCATCCTGACTTGGGAATATATCACCTTTCCTTTGATGTTGCTGGGACAAAATCCTGGAATTCCCTCTCTAAGTGCATTGTGGGTCAACCTACAGCACATGGCCTGCAGCAGTGCAAGAAGGCAGGTCAGCATCAAGGGGCAACTAGGGATGGGGAATAAATGCAGGCGCAAGCCAGCGACACCCATGTACTATAACAACCGCCCCCTGAGCTGCAATGAGGGTTTGTTATCTTGCTAAGACATGGGGAGTTGTTGTTGCGACAATATTGGTGTATGGTACCCACCTCGATCAGCTCACTGAGCTCCTCCGTATATGGGTGGTACCTGCTGTCTTTCTCACTTTTGAAAAACCAGGTACACCGCCTGACTTGGCTGGGCACCTCCTGCCAGTAAACAGCGTGCCTCGTGCGACTGGCCAGAAAGACATCGTAACGCCCTCCGTCTGTTGGGACAGCCACGTCCTCCGAGTCCACTGCTTCTGAAAGACAACATTCCTGAGTAGGCTCCCTCCCAGCTTGTAACGCCACCTAAATCCCAGTTGCCTGCCCCACTCTAACAGAAACAGTGTTTCAACCTTGCAATGCTCCCAACTACCAGACATGTCAGATCCCAGACTGAAATCTGGCTTGATAGATCATTTGGGTTCGTTTTGCATGGTGGCAGTGGAACAAAGCATTGTTTCTTTCAACTCCTGGTCTTGACAGCTTGAGAGGCTTTTCCTTGATTTGCCACACAACTTAGCTTAAACATGCTTATAGTTTTAAATAAGCCCTTCAAAGGTTCTGACTAAACACCTCTGCTCCAGACTTTTAAAAATAAAGCCCTCACGCTGAGGTAATCTATTTCCTAAAGGTTCTGAACTGACTCCTGCCTCCAGGAGAAGCTGTACTTTTACACCAGGCTACAGCCAGCTCTTTTGTGAATTGCAAACAAAAGCTTTCCAATTTTCCAAAGCAAAAATCATGCCTTGATTCTTCTAAATGAAAAGCGCACAAATGCCTTTCATTGGTTGCTGTCTTCCATCATAGAAGTGCAACGTTATTAACAAAAAAATTAACATGATAACACCAGGAGGGCCCCCAGTCACCTGTTCTCTGACACTTACCATCTTAAAATCATGGCTCTAGAATACAGGCAAGTTAATTGCCAAACCACCTCATATGCATGGACCAAAACCCACATGCCACTTGTTCAAAATCCAAACTCGGAAAAATAAAAGATACCAGGATGTTTCTCTAAACATGAACCTTTCTTCATGGAAGGTAGCGTGCTGGTACAGGGGGGCATAGCACGGTGGCTGTGGTTAGTACTGCTGCCTCACAGCACCAGGGACCTGGGGTCAATCCCAGCCTTGGGTGACTGTCTGTGTGGAGTTTTCACATTCTCCCGGTGTCTGTGTGGCTTTCCTCTGGTTTCCGCCCACAGTCCAAAGACGTGCAAGTTAGGGTAGATTGGCCATGCTAAATTGCTCACAGTGTCCAGGGATGCGCAGGCTTTTGGATTAGCCATGGGAAATGTAAGGTTACGGGGAGTGAATGGGGGTTGGGGGGGGGGGGGGGTTCTGTGTGAGATGTTCTTTGGAGAGTCAGCATGGACTTGATGGGCTGAATGGCCTGCTTCCACACTGCAGGGATTCCAAATGAACCATCTGCAGGCTTCACACTGTTGTGTAGCACATCACCATGGCCTGTCTGACAGCAGAAAGGGTCTGCTGTGAGTCACTTTCACTGCCTTGGTACTCCGTCCCTTTCCCACAGTAAATCTACCATTACCCCACTGTCTGAGGATCTGTGAGACAGAGAAAGAGAGAGAGAGGAGAGAGAGATGTGCGTGTCACAGGTTGTCTTTCTCCATCCTGAGGAGGGGTCCCTGGAGCAGCAGAGAAGCCTCCACCAGATTGGTGTGACAGAAGAGTTCTTGCCTTTTGCACATCACTGATTTTTATTGTTCCACCACTGGGCGGCATACATTCAGCTGCCTGGGCCCTCGGGCTCTAGAACTCCCTTACTTCACCAGCTCCTGAAAACCCAACCATTTTGCTCTGGTGTCTCCATTTATTGCTCGATATACAAGGTTAGGTGGCTGCTAACTGATCAGCAGTAGGGAACACGATGTGCAGTCGCACTGAGGGGCTTAGATTCTCCCCCATCATTCCCCTCCCACTTGCCCTCATTCTGTTTCTCACTCCTGACTCACACACTGGTCACACAGAGGGTTTGGCATTAAGGGTCCTTACCCCGCGCCTGCCTTTTGGCACAGCAGTACTTGGTCTCCAGTGCGTGAGAGTCTGTTTTACTGAAGGGGGTCCAGACGGGATTGGTGCCCTCCATCCTGCAGTGGAACCAGTGAGGTTGCACAGCCTGGTAGCAGCTCTGGACCACCTCACCGTGGTGACTCGGCAACGTTGGATCAGGCTGGCCCTCCCCTGATCCCAGTGTTCCTGGTGAGTCCTGCTGAGAAGATTGGAACAGGTGGAAGCATAGGCTGTGTTCTACGCACACCGGAGACCCATCGTCCTCGGACCGAGACAGCTGGGGGCGCTGCCCAAAGCGAGGGCTGGGCCTACCCCACAATCCCATCATCTCCCGCCCCGGGCGCTGCCCAGAGCAAGGGCTGGGCCTACCCCACAATCCCAACATCCCCGCCCCGGCCGTGCCCCTCCCTCGTCTCCCCCACCCCCGCCAACACCGCCCCAGCCAGCCCCTCCCTTGTCCTTCCTGCACGTCCAGCAAGGTCACCAGCAATTGATGTGGCGTTGGCTCATGGTCCATCCCTGACTGCCCAGCTGGTTAGGAGCTGGCCACATCCCTATGGGCCTGGAGTCACGTTTAGGCAGGAAATCATTATTTCCTTACCTCAGCACCATTAGGGAATCAGACTGGTCTTGTGCCCTCGCTTGAAGGCGAGGCTTTCTGAAGTCACATTTCACCGTCCTGTTACAGTGGGATGTGAGCCCTTGTCCCCACTGGGACGTCAACCTTACCTTCTGGATTATTTACTGAGTGACATTCCCACCATGCCACAGGTTTCCCCCCACCCTTTCCCTGTTTGGGAACTGGGCCTAAATGAATGACCGGGCTATTGTAACACTGCAGACACAGCCGCACTCCTTGTGGTGGTGGAAGGGTGCTCAAGTCTAGTGGCATATCAGATGCTTGGCGGGGGGGGGCTTAACCCATTTCAGTCAAGTCTGTGCAACACCACAGGCCCACAGCCAGTGGAGACAAGATTGCTCCCTCAGCTGCACTGGAAACAGCCACTTTCACTCTGGGAGGAATGCACCACACAGCGAGCGCTGTTTCAGACCCACGCAGAATCACTGCCAAGGAAGACACACCAGCCCATGGCACAACACCAGTTCGCACAGGCCCGGACTCGGGAAAGGTACACAGCAGAATTCCGAGAGCTTCTCCCGATGGAATGTTCCGCATGGGCTGAACGTCCAACATGGAGGCTTGACCAGGCCATGTCCAGACTGAGGTGCCGTAGTGGTGTTTTGCGCCACAGCATTGACTGTAACTCACCTATCCTGAAGCTGCTGGGCATGTCCCAGGATAGGAAAGGTCAGAGTCAGCCTGCAAAACTGAAGCTCACCTCTCAGTACCACACCTGGAAATGGGAGCGCTCAGGATGTGGAGTTGGGCAGTCCCCCCGTTCTGCTTCGTCCCAAAGCTGCTCTCGGATACAAGTGGCTCTTTCGAAAGAAATCACAATGAAACAATGCGGGGTTGAGTCGTTTCAGGGGTGCATGTTGAGGGCTGGAAAACAAAACTGTTTGCGGCTTACGATAAGCCGTTTCAGATTTCCTGCCTGCAACTTCAGCGAGGGGCATCAGATCTTAGCCCGGCAGTCGAGAGAGACAAAAAGGGAAGCAAAACACTACGGATGCTGGAAATCTGAAACACACTGAGAAACTGCTGGGCAAATTCAGCAGTGTCTGTGGACAGAGAGAGACAGAGTTAACGTTTTGAGTGCAGCACAGGCAGTCAAGGCTCACAGCACGGAAGCCAAACAAACAATCAACAGGATGGAGGCAGCCGTGAGCAAAATACTGCAGTACCTGTGAAAATCAGGGGATAGTTTAAGACAGACAAGTGTGGGAATTGTACCCTATTTCCAGCTCGGAGGTGTCTGGAACCCGCCAGAGTTTTGTTACACACTTCACGGGGATAAGGCTGGGTCTGCCCGCACGTGCAGGAAATAAGCACTCACCTGGCAGCGCCACCTGGATTTGGGGCAGCACTCACCTGCTGGGTATGGCTGGCATCTGGGAGAACCATCTGCTGCTCAGAATGGCAGGCGTTCACACTGTTACCCTCCTTCTGAATCCCGGTAACGGCTGCTTCTCCGGTCTCCTCAGGGCACTCCACACCGGCGCATGGGGGTTCAATGTCGGGAAGAGACGGTGGTGCCGGCTGCCGGGATAGCACCCGGGAGTCAGTCACCAGCGGCGGTAAATCCGTCGCTCCGCCAGGAGCGAGCGGTGCCCTGGCACTTTGCAACCTGTTGTTGGTGACATCGACAGGAGAGCTTGGTCTGTGCATGTCTGCAATTCCTGAGAAAAACAGACAGGGGAGAAAGAAAATTCACAATCTGATGCTACCCTTCACTGCATTCCTGCGTGGACATGCTTTTACAAATCCGCTCGCTCTGTTCGAACCCTTGCTGATTTTTCATTCGTTTTCACTTTCCCAATTTCGGTTTGGAGCTTTGAACTGAGAACTGTGAGCTGGAAGTGACCTTTGGACTGAGATTGACAAAAACAGAAGGGAGACAGAACACATCTGGCTATTGTTTGTTTGCGAGGCCAGGTCTGGAAGTTAATTGCAGTTTGGATCTTGAGCAAAGGTTCTGTAGACTCTTTGACACTGGGGAAGAGCAGCGTTTTTGAACGGAGAGCAAAAATCAAACATCAAAGCTGGGCACAAAAAGGTCACGCAGTCGGAGATTATTTTATGATGCTGACAAAAGCAGGAAAGTTAACTTGACCCTCCTCGAACACTACCAGAGGGATGGCATCTCCTCAAACAGGAGTTTTGAAGCAGTTGGGAGTTGGTGTCCAACCTGCAGAGGAAAGAGGGCTCCCAGCTCAGCTGTCCCATCATGATCAGTCCAGCCCACTGTGTTTCTGTGTGATGCCAGGACCCCCACCTTCCAGCAAAAAATGCCATCCCCAATTCCCAATTCCTTCGCCTCCGCCGCATCTGCTCCCAGGATGAGGCATTCCACTCCCGAACATCTCAGATGTCCTCGTTTTTCAAGGACCGCAACTTCCCCCCCACAGTGGTCGAGAACGCCCTCGACTGTGTCTCCCGTATTTCCCGCAACTCATCCCTCACACCCCCTCCCCGCAATAACAACCAAAACAGAATCCCCCTCGTCCTCACGTACCATCCCACCAACCTCTGGATCCAACGCATCATCCTCCGACATTTCCGCCATCTGCAATCCAACCCCACCACCAAAGACATTTTTCCCTCCCTACCCTTATCTGCTTTCCAGAGGGACCACT